TAAGATCTGGGGCATCTTGTGTGGTGGCAGACAGGGGCTTGGTGGGGGTGCGAGCAGAGCCGTGGGAGGGTGTCAAGCAGGGAAGGGTGGCCCAGCAGCTGGTTGGGGACAGCAGGCAGGGGTCTTGTCAGCTGGTGGACGTAGTGGGGCAGCAGGCATGGACCTGGGCAGCTGGTACCGTTGCTGGTTAGAGGGCAGAGCAGGGACAGCTAGTGGGGCAGCAGGCGGAGGCTTGGGGTGGGGCAGGGAAGAAGGGGCATTGTATGGCCATGTGTAAGGGTGTGGGGAAAGCAATAGGGTCATGGACTGGGCAACTAGCAGGGCAGAAAATGAGGTTGAGGTAGGCAGGAGAGGTGTCAGGCAAAGGCCTCAGGGTGGTAGGCACATGTCAGTCAGGGTAAGCTGTTGCAGAACTAGATTACTCCCATTCTGCTACACGGACCATCTTTGAGGAAAGACTCCATCATCTCCCCCCACCGTTACCCCAGGGGCATGCTTACTGGTGTGAGGACACCACAGCAGGCTTTGTTGGCCATTCACTGTACAAAAGATGGCCAAACACAACTTCATTTCATAGAAATACCAGACCTTTTATAGGCGTTCTGTCCCGCGGGTTTGGAGAGAGGTTTTTCCTTTGTTTCAGGTGAACTATTTCAGCTCAGTAAGCTGTTCACTCAGAGCTCTGAAACAACCCAGAATTTGGAATAATACAAATTTTCTTTCCTCTTCCAAATAAAGTAGATGTAGAGGGTGAGAGCTACTAATTTTAAACTTCCGAGGTGTGGGCAGACATGCAAAAACAATCATCTCTCGTTACTTAAAAATTATATTAGGTTTGTTAGTGAACCATAAAATTTTTAAGTTTGAATGTTTTGATAAACTGACCTTTTTCCAATCCACCACACTCAAAATACATTTTAGTTAATTAAACCAGTTGCAAAGCACTACCTTGGTGTTTACAATTTATGATTAGGGTGACTGTTACACAAACAGTGAATAAAAAGCTATCCGAAATGAGACTGTAATATGATAAAAATGTAAGCATAAAACATCCTTAAAATATTATCACTGAAGCATGTTTAAACATGCATTTAATTTACTCTGGTAAATTCATTACTCTGGTTTAGGATTAGTCATTTGTTTATAATGTACCAGATGACTTCTATTTGAAATGGGATATTATTCTATAGGGTGACAAATTGCATTCCTACTTGTTCATGTTGTGATGCAGTTGCCCATAGCTGGACCTATGCTTTGAGTAGGAGGTTGAATTCAATGACCCCCTGAAGGTCTCTTTCAAACTGGATTATTCTGTGTCTGCTTTTGATCATTACTAACGTTACGCAAACAGTACATCTTGCAGGAACAGGTGAAAACCTACTTTCTTGTTCAAAGGTCTCATCAACCCTACACTTGGTGGCACAAAGCTGCAGCTGAGGTCCAGACCTGTCTTACAGACCTTTAGTAAGCAGGGCCATGTCCCTTGAAGGAAGTAGTCTAGTAATCTCATATTTTGTGAGTGTTACTCTACTGTTTTTGTGACTTGAGCTTGCTCTGAAAGCAGTATGGACTTAATATATGTAAAATGCACAGTCTGTTATCCTGATAATGTGTCTTTAGATCACTGAGGTTTTACAGTATTTCTTAAGCAGTGATCACTTACCTAGGCAAGTAAAGCTAACAATATAAA